AATGATTTGCCACAGTTGCCAGCACCTAATAGAAAAGAAAGGAGGAGGAAGGTAAAGACTCCGGACCGTTCCGCCACCTACCACGAAGGCGGTGGACGGATCCCCCAAGGGCTGGTGGCACCCGGCCGAACCTTGCGTCTCCCTACGTTAGTGGCTTGACTCCATGAGTCGACCTATGGTCGCGTGCGCGGTAGTCTTCCCAGCGAAAGAATAGTGGAGTGCGGATGGCGGATTCCGTGGCTCTTTTCCCCCACTACTCAGTTTCTTGTGGACTGATTGGTGAGAACTGAGTAGTGGGGGAAAAGAGCCACAGAATCCGCCATCCGCACTCCACTATTCTTTCGCTGGGAAGACTAGGCGCGGCGCCCACGTCGTCCCACCCACGTCGCACGGGGAACGCACAGATCCAGCCCGCCGAGCGCACGGGTCGGCACAGGAAAAGTAACGCGGAAGGCACAGATTTGCACTCGTCTGCACCGAGAAGGCGCGGTTTTGCACGCATATTTTTTGACAAGGGAGGCTCTCGTGAGCCTCATCCTTTCCTTCCTGCCCGGGGCCCGGGGCCCGGGGCCACCCCTGCGAGCGTGAACTCAAGAGATGCTTATTGTCAGTTCTGATCTGGCTTCTGTGAATAACGTGCGGTTGCGGTCTGAGCAGGTCCACGAAGGCCTTCGGGGTTGTTATTCTTGCATTTTGGGGGCTTTAAAGCTCTGAATTTGCTGCATATTTGTTGCGGTTGACTGAAAATTTGTGTCTTGACAGATTTTGAAGGTGAGCGTTACTTTTGCGGCATGGTTGATGATGTTCTGTGAGATAGATACAGTTTGGCCAGGTTTGTTTTTGTGTTCCCCCATTATCTGTTATTGCTTTTATTGGCATTTTAGAGTGTTGTCACATTACATTGTCCTCGAGTCCTCGCTTGTCGACAAGTTTTCCTTTGATACGTGTTGGGGGAGTACATAGCTAAATTGTATTCATATCTTTCGATACATTAGTATTATTGTAAAGACATGCAGGTTATGATTCGTTTGCACTTTCATCATGAATGGATTAAACCAAGATTATTTTTAAAGAGAAACTTGTCGCACTTAACCATCATTCTGTACAATTTCCCTCTCAACTTCTGGACCTCGATATTTGAAAACTGTTTTTGAAATAAATAGATTGAAGGGTTTGGTAACTATCTAGAAGTTGTTTTTACTACTGATTTTTTAGATGGCTGCTCCAATGGGTGTGACAGAGCTCAATGTTGCTGTGTCACAAGTCGCTGTTGAACTTGTACGAGCCATTGAAATTACTATGGATCCATCAGTACCTCATCCCCAGCGGCTAGAAGCATACAACCATTGTGAAACTTTCAAAGACAAATCTCCGTACTGTGTTCAATGTGGTCTTTATCTTGCTCAACAAAAACAACTTTCTGAACATGTGCAACATTTTGGCCTTCAATTAATGGAATACTGTATAAAGTACAGATGGTATGATCTGCCCCAGGGTGAAAAAATCTTTATCAAGGTTTGTATATGGCAAATATGGACATATATTGAATTTTTTAAACATATTTTTTTAGATTTTACACTCAAAGAATAAAACTACTAATTATTTTTCTGCTGTTCAGGAAAATGCCATGAAGTTATTAAGTGAAGGAATGCCAATAAACTCTCCAAACCATATGAAGGATGCGATTTCTCGTATAGTCGTGGAGATGGTGAAGCGAGAGTGGCCTCAGCAGTGGCCAGGCTTGATGAGTGAGCTTAGTCACATCAGCTCTCTTGGGGAGAGTCAGACCGAGCTTGTGCTTCTGGTGTTTTTGAGACTTGTTGAAGATGTTCACACCTTACAGGCATGTTTATCATAACTTATTATTCAAAATTGTTATGTTTATTCCGCGTTTTTGATTCTTATTTCTGTTCTGTTCAGACTTTGGATTCAAACCAACGTCGAAAAGATCTGTACCAAGCTCTTACTATGAACCTATCGGAAATCTTCAGCTTTTTTGTCAGGCTTATTGAAACCCATGTTAACAAGTACAGAGAATTAACAGCTCAAGGAACTAGAACAGAGGATATCTTACCCCATCGTAGTGTTGTACAAACAGTACTGCTCACCCTAACTGGATTTCTAGAATGGGTTCCCGTTACTCATATAATGGCTGAGGAAGGTCGTTTGCTTCGTGACCTTTGTCTTCTCCTTGATCATAAAGACTTTCAATGTGCTGCAGCTGAGTGCTTGCTACTTATCGTCAGCCGTAAAGGGAAACCAGAAGATCGTAAGCCTTTTATGGTTCTCTTTGGGAATGAAGTGATGGCTTGCATGTTCAGGTCTGCATGTAGCAGCTCTCCTACCGATGAAGCTGATTACAAATACCTCAAGGTTCTTGCTCAGGTAGTGTTAAAATTTACCTTTAATTGACATATGTTTCATTGTAAATGAGTAAACATGGATTCAGTTGGTTTCTGATATGAAATTTTTGTGTTATTCTCTCGTAGGTCCTGGCGGGCTTGGGCTTGCTACTGTGTGCTGTGTGGGGTAAAGATGAGGGACCATCGGCTCAACCATCTAGCTTTGGGACATTTCTTGATATCATTCTAAGCTTTACTCGTCATCCCAGCCTTACTTTGACACGAACTGTGTCAGAACTGTGGGGTGCTTTGTTTAGACATGACTCAATTTCAAGGCAACCTATTATGCTAGAGTTCATCCCTAAATGGGTGGAAGCTGCTGCCCCAAAAGCCATCAAGGTATGGAACAAAAATATCTTTGTTGTCATTAAATGCACTTCTAGGGCTTACACCGTAATATGTTTATGACCAAACTTATTTATTCTATCCAGGTCTTGTACCCTTCTAAGAGAACTACCATAATCACAGCGAATTCATCTTATTTTGCTGGTCTTGACTATGATAGTAAAGAAGAGTTCACCACTTTCTGCAGTCAGTTGCGCATTATCATTTGTGAAAACTTTCGTCAGGCTACATTTATTGCTCCCCTTGTCACATATGGTTACACTGAACGCTGGCTTCAACAGCGTATTCAACAGTCTATGTCAGATCCAACTCCATTGACTAATACCTCTCCAGCATATCTGGAGTGGGCTGCTGTTGCTTGTGTAGGTTTCCCTTCTATTTTATCATGTATTTTATTGTACAGTAGAATTATGGTCTAATTTTCTTTTCCTTCTCTTAGATATTGGACAGTGTTTTGAATAAAATTTTGCAAGTGGCTGAGCGACCACCTCCTGCAGCAGGCCTTCGACTTTTGGAACAATGTTTGAACTTTGAGCCTGCAGATCCTCTAGTGTTGTCTGAACTATTGTCATGCGTATCAGCCCTATTTGTGTTCTTGTCTATGTCTCCTTCAACTAATCTGCTCACCTCAGTAAGGATCTTTTTATCAATTTCTTATTAAGATATGATTACGAGCATTTTTTAGTCTGTTCTTTTTCCTTGCAGGTTCTCAATAAGATCTTTGCGGCACTTGTGTTCTCCCAGCCTGGAGTGCCTAGAGAGATGCTTAGCCGAGACATCAAATCTGTCAGACGCCATGGTGCATGTCTTATGGTTAAAATTGGCACCAAGTATCCCTTAATTTTGTTACCAATTTTTGATCAAATATATGGAATTGTTAGCAATCTTCATAGCAAACCTGCATTGCTTTCATCTCTAGAAAAAGTTACATTACAGGTAAGTTTTTCTTTCAATATTCAATTTCTAAATTAAATTACATTTGTAATTCCAACTTTAGAAACACTAGATCATATGTTATTTTAGGAGAGCCTTTTGCTCATCAACAATCACTTTTATGAGTATGAACGGCAAACCAAGTTTATTGGAGAAGAACTGAAGGGTCCTAGTTCAGTTTGGCTAAGTTTGGGTCATGAAGCTTTTGCAAATGCTCCAAGTTTGATGGAAGCAGTTGGTTTACGCCATGCATTAACAGACTCAGTTAATGAAGAAAAGTGGGGAACTAACCGCTCAAATATTATGATTTGTGTGAATCTGATGATGGCTGTGGTGAAACGGTGCACCTGGCCAGATGATCCTGATAAGGCAGCTAGAGGAGGTTTTGTGGTAAGTTTTTAATAAAATGAGATTTATTTTTTTAAATGAGTATGTTTGGGATATATTCATAAAATCTCTTAATCTGAAATTGTGTTTCAGATTCACATGACAAAAAGTGGAAATCCAGTATATCGTAATCCTGCTGCCCCTCATGTCGTCCCAATGCTGCCAAACTTTTTTGCTCTATTGCGAGCTATGAACTCTCTGTGGACCCCTGAAGCACTTGCTTGCTTGTCAGAAGTGTGTATATCTCTTCTCTTTTGATGTATACATATTAGTTCACTTTCATCAAATGATCATTGATAAATAATGATCTATTATTTTTCACAGGATTACAGATTAGTCTACAAAATGACAGATGGTGAGCGCGCACAGCTGGTTGGCAGTAGTATCACTTCGTCCAGCCCAGATCTTGACCTTGTGGACTCAGCATGTACAGCATCTAATGGCTCAAGTGCACTCTCTAGTGCAAGAGCTCCTGCTCGAATGCAGTCATACATTAGCACATTGCATGATAATTCATATCATATCCTGGGAAGTATGGGAATGTCATTTGGATGGGATTTGTATCAGCTCCCTGACCTTGCAACTAATCTAATCAATACTGTTTTCCATGGCCTTGAGGTAAGTTAATATGTTAATAATGTCATTAACTTTTGCATACTTTGAAAATGTCAGTATCTTCAAAACTTTTTCTCTCTTTCTCTTTGCAGTTTATCCCTGACTATAGACTCAGACCAATTGTAAAAACATTCCTCAAACCATTTATTGGAGCTTGCCCCTCTATTTTTAATGAATCAGTCATTCTACCAGTGCTTGCAAATTTTTGCCCATACAGTAGGTATTGAAGTATGACACACTCAGATTTCATGCTTTAAAATTTTGTTAACACATTTCTCTGCTCCACAGTGTTTGGAAGACTCAATGCCAAATGGCAGTACTTAGCTGAACTTCGTGAAGCTGGACAGATTGATGATGAGAATACAGAGGCTCAGGTAAGCTTTGCACTTTGACCAATCTTTCATACCATCACAAACCCCATAAGTTGTTATAATTTCTAATTCCTATGGTTTTAGGAAGTCGTTGATGATATGCTCAACAGAAATCTAACAAGAGAATACCTTGATGTACTGAAAGTAGCTTTGATTGGAGGCTCTTCAGTTGTCGAGCTTGCAAACAATGACAATGTAGATGGAATGGAGCAAGATGAGGGTAGCCGTCCACCGCCATCTACCCAATCTATGGAAGTTATCAGTGAGCTAGGTCAACATATATTGCGCTGCCCACACACAAGTCAATCCGTAGCTTTGTGTGTCCTCAGGTAACTTCAAGAAAGGAATCTATAAATAAAGAAACCTGTCAGTCAACCTACTATTTAATATTAATCCTCTGAAATTTCCAACAATTGCAGAGCTTTGTCATGGCCCGACAGTGGAACAAGCTACAAAGCTGCCATGCTTACAGGACCTATGGTCCGTCAGCTCTTGGCAGATGGTAGTGTTTCACCCATGGTGGCCACACACATTATGACATCAGTTCTACAAGGACTCCAGCTCCATGGTCATCATGATGTAAATCAGAGTGTGTTGCTACAGCTTGGAACCCAAGTATATGATATGCTGAGACCACGCTTTGTGGAAGTGGTTGAGGTAGGTTTCTTTTAATACTGTACGTGAACATTTGGTGGTTCTTTGAAATAGTCATGTCATAAAATTATTGGGTTTATTGGATCAGGTAATGAAGCAAATTCCTGGAATAAATATCATGGAGTTGCAAAAGCTGGATGAAAAGGTTCTTAGTGGTGCAGCATCTGCTGCAGCTGCTGGTCCTACTGGTGGACGAACTACAAATAGTAAAACTGAGAAAGCAAAGAAAGACAATTTCAAAAGACTTACAACTCAGGTAAAGAGATCAGTAATGCTGTATAGTTTTTCAGTTCAGTGTTTCCATATTTCAAACAGATGTTAATTTTCTCTCTGTTTCTTTCAGTTAATTAACTGTAGTTTAAGCCAGCTATTCTGCAAGAAGGCTTGGATTGCTGAGCTGCCCCGTCTGGACGTTCCAAGAAGAATAAAACCACCTAGAGTTGAAGATTTACCTGGGGAAACTGGCCTAGCTAGCTTGTTCCATGGTAACTCAGCATAGTTGTATAATCATTCCATCATATTGAGACTGAGATCATATCTGCTGTGTTGTGATTTAGTTCCTGTAATTTTTGTCTTGTGATCATATGCTTTTAGATTTTTGGGTCATTTTAACCTTGGCATATTCTGTTGCTTTAAATTATTTATAAAAAAAGAAATGTACATATTGTGCCTACAGCTGCTCAAAACAAATGTCCATCAAATGGATGTATCATTTAAAAACTATGAAGTTTGATTAGTTACCAAATGAATTAGGTAGATTGAACATTGCCTTAAGTATAGTAAGTTATTAAATAAGAATTGCTTACTGTAAATATCAGTTGAATTCCATGAGCATGATTGATTCTTTTATATTGTGATGAAATGATTTGCACAGAAAATAATCAAGATTTTTAAATATGTATTGTAATGTCTCCTAGTACTGTGAAAATTGATTCAAATGATTGCATTTCTTCTCAATATGCCCCTGGTGTAAGTACGGTGTGCCCATTAATAGGTTAAAAAGCAAATCTAACTACATTTGGTCTTCAGTAATCTCCTGCTTTAAACTAAAGGTAGTTCTGTGTTTTGCTTCTTTTTTGCTTTCTAATGTCCAGGCATGTTTTATCATATAACAATATCCAAAAATTTTGACTCTTTAAATAAAAATGAACTAGGTAGGAAGAATTTCTCAACTTCAAATGACAATATTAAAATGTGATTAATACTCAAATAGTGCATTGATGAAATTATGAAAATAGGTTTAATATGATCTTAAACTACATGCAATTCAGCTGAACAGTTCTTTTCATTCAATTGTTGTTTTTTTTTGTTAAGTAAAAACCTATTTATTTTGGTTAGATCTCATGGATCTCTTGAATTTGTGCCTTCTTTAGTTGTCTTTTATTATATATAATTCCATGACAACTTTTATTCTGCTCCTCTCAAGTTTTCTCAGGGCTCCTGGGTCAGCATTTATAGATCAACCGTCATTACTAAAAATGTCGGTGTGATCTGTAGATCAAAATTATGTGTAAAAATGTGGCCATTATTAGAGACTGACAACTCATTTATGTTCCTATGAACTGCAATTAAAACTCCTCAGATTTCTCAAATTTTTAATTTTCTACATCTTATAAACTTCTGAAGTTATGAATATGTATTAGGTGTTCCAAGCTTAGTGAGCTTGTGCATTTTACTGTCACAATTATAATGCATTTATTACTATTTTCAGAACCTTACGTGTCACACATGTACTACAGGTAAAACATAAAATAAAATGTCTGCATTGTGTATTTGTTTGCATTTTAATGCCTTTCCTCTGCACAGATGGACACACGAAACTCAATGTAACATCTTTGAGCAAGACTTAATGAAGGTTTGATGTCTATTGCTTTCAGTAAAACAAGTGGAATAGGTTACCACACTCTTAGTTCAAACAAGCAAAAAAATGTTCAAGGAAATGCTCTTCTGGCACATTTTCTGCACTTAAGAAAAAGTCCAGTCCTCAATGAAAAATCCTCAGAATATTGCTACCACTTTGAATCGAAGACATTTTCTGCTCAGTCATGTCTTGTAGTGGAGAGAAAGACCGCGGGACAGTGCAGTCCCTTCTTACTTTCTTTTCCCACCCGATTCTGGTAAACGTCCCTCTCCCCACCCGGAATGCAGCAAGCTCCTGTAGCGGTTCGAAAGGTCAGCTGCGGCGACAGCGCGTTGCGGCTGCCCACCCGAGCCTTTTTCTTCACAATAATGGAAAAAAACGACAAGATTCTCCCCCGTCACCGAGAGTAAGAACCATCCCTACGCCTCCTCATTTCTTGCTCGCAGCCTCGACTTCCTTGTTGAGGTAGTGCAGCACGTAGTGCAGCACGAGGTCGTAGCAGTACTTGTACTCCGTCATGCTGCCCATGAGCTGGGGCCGGTGCCTGCGAACCGTCCGCACCGCCTGCAGCACGTCCACCTCCCCGTGCTGGATCACCTGCTCGATGCAGGCGTTGGCCGCGCAGTACACTCCGCAGCGGCTGTGCCCGTCCCTGCGACACACAATGGCACAAATTCATGTCTGAAACGAGTCATGGTGACGCCATAGTGACGTTATAGGGACACTCTATAGTGGCGCCATAGTGACTTTTCCGTGCTTGTATGGCTACTCACTGGCTGACGACAACGACGGGGCCGTAGTCGCAGCGCTGCCGCCACCGCTCCACCATGTTCATGAGCTCGACGAGGGAGTTGGTGGACGTGGGCACCTTGTGGTCCATAGGCCAGCACGTCAGCTGGAAGAGCTGCACGCGCCGTGGTGGCGCTTTCACGCCCGCCATCAGCTCCGTCAGCGAGACGATCTGCGGACAGGCAGGTACACACCGGGTCAGGCGAGCAGTACCGCGCATTTGATGTCCCAGTAAGTGCCTCACCATGCCCCCGCACACAATCCCAATGCCCCCGCTATGCACGCTCTTTTAGACGGCAAACACCTCTGCGCCTACCTTTTTATTGATACGGAAGACCCACGTTCTGATGTTGCTGTATTCGTTGTGCGAGATGTGGTCGATGGTGAACACGGGGCCATACTTTTTCGAGTGGCGGCCCTCCGGCCAAAAGGGCGGGTAACTTTGCTGTAAAATACAAAAAGTCCGTTAATTATTTCGTGGCTGTAAAGTAACGCCAAATAAAATGAGTTCATTTTGTTTTGGTTGGGGTTTTGGGTTGAGCATACCGAGTTCTTGGGTGGGACGCACAGCACTACCACGGCGGCGGCCTCGTAGTCGTACACCATGGACCAGAGGTCACCCTGCGTGTGCTTCAGCGGCCACTCCGTGATGATGTACTCTCTGGGCTTGGTGTATCCCTGGAGGGACGGGGGATTATTTTTAATAAATTACAAGATTAAGTGTCACGAATACCTTTATTTCGATGGCCTGCTCCTTTCCAGCAGTTCAACTCACGTCCACGAACACAGCGTTGATGTAGTCGGTGAAATTGTTCCCCTGGAATGATGTGAGGTATGGTCGAGAGTTGTCAGCTGAAACGTATCCCAAGTATTTTCTATCAACGTTCCAACTTTTCTCTCATCTCGCAAACTGCAACCATCATACGCCACCATCTACTCACGCGGCACAACGAGGACGTCCCTGTTCTTCTCCCGGTTGTCTCCGCGGTGTCCGCCCGCGCAGTCGCCTATCGTGAACCGCGGCGTCTGCTTGCAGATGAGCTGGGGCCAACAGATTCCAGCGTCAGCCTGGGTGATAACCTCGACGAGACGCTTTTTTGTTTCGACGGACGCGTACCTGGTACTCGCGCTGGTATTCGCTGAGCTTGTTGGGCCCGCGCTGGCCCTTGGCGCGCAGCCTCTGCGACAGCTCCTTGACCGGGAACCAGCTGGGCCCGCAGATAGCGTGCTCCTCCAGGGTGTCGTACACGAACTTGTACTGGTCCTGCGGGAGGGGCGGGCGGGCGCGTTAGTTACGCTTAATGCAGCCCCACTGTGAAGCGGTACACCACCCACCGCCGGGTGGCCGACTCCCCCACCCCGAGAGAGGAGGTTAAAGGACCTCAACAAGACCCCTGCACGCGCGGGAAAAAAAATGACTACGTTTTCGGACGCTGGATACGCATGGACTGCGTTCATTTGCCGTTCGAATAGTTTTCAGGGCATGTTTCGGTCCGTCTGTGCACCCCGTATTTTCGCATTCCAGCCGAGTGGCATGGCACCTGGGCCGGGACCTCTGGACGGACGGGGCGGGGCGGGGTAGGCCACCGTATCGCTCGGCGGACACGCGCGCGCGGCGGGCAGCCTACTCCCTCCACCGCAGGCGCTCCGCGACCTGGATTGGGCCGACCTAGCTCGGGGGATCCTGGGCCTGGCCGTGGCTGGGGCGGGCGGGCTTACCACGTTGTCGATCATGCCCTTCCTGGACTGACGCAGCTTCTTGAGGTAGCCGAACACGTCGAAGCAGTCCTCCTCCTCGGCGAGCTCGAGGTTGGCGTCGATGGCCAGGTACACGCCGGAGCGGCCGGCGCCGTCGCTGCAGTGCACGACGCACGGCCCGTGCTGGTCGGTCTGGCGCTGCGCCGCCACCACCATGCGCACCCGCCGCCGGAACTCGAGGATCGAGTTGGAGAACGGGCAGGTGTGGCTGGGCCACTCGGTGTAGTGGAACTGGAGCAGCGTGCGCTCCTCCACGATCTCCTCCGCGGGCGCCGCCACGCCCTGGCCCTGGTCGAGCGTGTTCTCGCCCGCGGCCGGCTGCACCCGGTTGTACCGCACCACCCGCAGAGTCCGGATGTGGAAGTTGGCCAGCTCCTCCTCGCGCAGCACCGACACCTCCAGGTCGCCGTAGCGCTCCGGGTGGTCGGGCGCGGGCGGCCAGTACTGCAGGCACATGACCTTGATGAAGTCGAACGTCTTCGTGAGCATGACGATGCACGACGCCCGCTCCTGCCACACCATGCACCAGAAGTCCACGACCGTGTGCTCGGTCGGACCCTGGGTGACGATGTAGGCGTTCGGCTTCAGCATGCTCTGCAACAAGTGGAAGGGGAAACAATTAATCTCGCCGGGCGGACGCGGACAGAAAGGATTGCGAGTTCTACCTCGCCCTCCTCCAAAGCGCGCTCAATATATGATGTGGCACTTTCACGAGGGCAGAGGCCGTGGCTCGCCGCAGGGTGTTTGACCGGGGAGGGGGGGGGCATGTTGGCAGGGAGCCAGTGGTAACGCGCGAACACCACTGGACACTGCGCCTATGGATCGCAGAGGAGGTCCTAGATGTGTTGCGTTTGTAGAGTAGCGCTGTATCGCCGTGGGGTCCCCCTACGCAGCGCGATGGCTCTTTGCTGCTGCGGTCTTGCTGGGGTGTCGGTGGTTCTCTCTCTCTCTCCCTCTCTCTCTCTCTCTGACGGGTATGGGTGTCCTTGGGGACGCAGGGCGTGGCCTTAATGGAGTAAAGGGACTCTCGCACTCCCTCCCTCTCTCCCGCTCCTGCTCCACTCTTTCTCTTTTGTCTCTTCCTCCCCAATCCTTCTCCCCCCACCCCTCTGTCTCTCTCTGTCTCT